AAAAAGTTAAAAATTGAGCGCCAACAAAAGGTCAAACCACGAGAGAAGTAATGCGCCTATTTTCACGATTCGTGTTCTCGGCGCCATTTTGATTCTCTGGAGACTTTTCGCACACAATTTCATATTTGGCGCGGAGGCTAATATTTCAGCCCGGGCTGAAATTCGTTATGTAATCGCAACATAATTTCAGCCCTCCTAGCCGGGCTGAAATTCGCCATGTAATCAGGCCCTAAAAAGGCTAGGTTTCTTATTTACATTCCTATAAGAAATAGACTGTTTTGAGAGGTCAAATCATCTAAATACCAAAACTAGAACAGTCTGACACACTGAAATGCGTTACTATTTACAAAGGCTTTTTTTCTGCGCCCTAAACCTCGTTGATCAGCGGCTGCATTGGGACCTTGGTCTTGGTGGTGATAACCTCGTCATAAGAGGGAGGCTTGATTTTCACCTGGTCAGCAGTAGAAGCCCTGTTTCTCTTGCAGCAGAACACAGTGGCGAGCAGCACCAAAATCATAAACATGATAACACTTGCTGCTATCACCACCTTTGTAGTTAAGGGCAATTTCTTGAATTCTCTCCATCCTGCAAGATGAAAAATGAGAGCAAGGATCAAAAGGTGTTGAAAGTGTTTCTCGTCAACGTTAGACGTTATCCTGGCTAAAGAAGGGCAAAGGTAAGCTTCCAGTTTGTGACCGGAAATTTTCGAGTTGCTCGAAAAAATTGATAGCTGGCGATCGCGACGTATCAAACATGAACAGTGCATGAAAATGAGAGCTTTTTTTATAAAGTGCATATCAATCATTTCTTATAGGTAGCTTCAAGCAGTTTCAACCTCGTCCCAGGCTCTTTCTTTTTCTATTGGACCCTGGGAACGAGGTTTAATGACCAACCTACCTATGTAACATATTATGACTTCAGGTTCCGGGGTTTCTGGGAATTGTCCTGAAATGAGTGTTGAATTGAAAAGTGCTCCAAATTCTGTCGTGGCCAGCAAGTCAACCTAGACACAAAACACATGATCACTCTGAGTTTGACTGTGAACTTAAAACACTGCAATTCAGTGCCTGTATACCTCATCTAAGTTTTAAAGGGTTTTAAAGCTGTTCTGCATGTGCATACAAACGTTGTTTACTATGGCAAAATGTTACCGGCGACGTGAAAGTTTCAAAATTGAAGAATAAATAGTTTTAGCTTTTCGCCACAGATTTAAAAGGCTCTTTTAAACTGGTGTGAACGTGGCTCGGGAAAAGGGGGGAAATTTTGGTGGAAATTTCTCGATAAAGGAAAGGATCCTACAAGTATACCTTAAAATTGATTGTACCATTCTCTTTCTTCAAATAACATTGTAGATACACATCAAGTTCTCCAATTGAAAACCCTTCAAGTTCCAAGGGAAAACCAGGAAACTCGATCTTCTCGCCATCAGTAAATGTGGCCGACCAATCATATTCAAGCTCGGGCACTGACACGGTGACGTCAGCAGTCATAGGTTTTTGCCATTGGCCAATGTCCACCGACAGTTTGATAACTTTCTGGCTAAAGGGAAGTGAGCACGTGATCTGGCTGCAGTCGTATGACGTGATGTTACACGAGGTATAGGTAGAAAGTTGGACATTTTGATCCAGCTGTAAAGAGCAGTCTCTCCAACCTTTCAAGGGAGAATAATAAATGAAATAAAAAAGAAATTACGGACATGATTTGACATCTGATTTCATGCAAACAGTGCATTTTGTCTGCCCTGATCTCTAGGTGTCATTGAAGTTCCTGGGTTCGTCGCAGTTGTTTCGCAGGTGATGAGCTTAGTGTCCCCGATTATGTCGGTAAAGTCGTCAGACATCAGACCAAAGTTAAAAATATTACAAAACCTTGATTAAGAACAATGAAAATATATCTATAGCTACTCGAACATAATATACAAATAAACAAAATAAATAAAACAAGCAAATAACTAAAATAGTTGACTCAGTAAAATTACTTTGAAATCTCAGTTCTAAATGCCTCCAAAGCACTACTTTCAATAATGTCTTGCTGTAGTTTGTTCCACATCCTTATAGGACGTGGAAAAAATGAATAAAAATATACATTCCGAATGTAAATTTTTGTTCTTAGGGTTTAGTATGGCGTTTACGTTTAAGAATTTATAATCATGACCGGAACGAATCTTCGGTTCGCAGTTTGTATACGAGCGCAAGTAACTACTTTCATCGATATTACAAAATAGTGAATTGGTCACTTCTAAGGTGGCCTCCGTTATAAGCCTAGTGGTTTCTTTTGGAGGTCTGCTCGCCGCTTTTGAGTATTGTCAATATCTTTTGCTATTATTTACGTGGTAAATAAATGATGAAGATGATTATATTTTGTAGAAATTACTGGTTAAACTCATAAACTGAACGAATTTTTGCGCTAATTAAGTCGACAATCCACAAACCCAATCTCCCCCATACATAGATGTCCTGTTCTGATATAAAGAACTAATTTATTTCGCTGTACAAACTCTAACTTAACCCGGTTGATTTGCTTTTCATTGCTGCACATCAAATTTCTGCGGGTTTGTCTATGACTCGAACACCCTGCGAGCAGAGCCTCTTTTATCGCTTTTTTGAGCGGACAAAGGATATGTACCGTAAGAAAAGGCTCTGCTTGCAGGGTGTGACTCGAAAGGCTGGTAGTTTTATTGTTATGCTTTGATCAGGCCCTCCCACTATCATGTCCAGAGTTATTCTATTGTGGTTTATGCTGAAAGTTCGACACTACTTGCTATGAAAATTAATGACGTCATCTCAATTTCGCCAAACAGTAGTGCTCTTAGCATTTGGAATACGGTTTTAAGATTTCGGAACTTTAACCGCGATCCACACATTCTATGGAGACGTATAAGATTTAGTGCGTTATAATTTCCTTCCTTGATTAACTAAGATCGTACCAGCGTACTCATTTTCGCCGCGTTTCGAATGAAAATTGCAAAATACTGAGTGAACCGTGAATCATCGAGTAAACAAAACGAATACACGAGCTGAACAGTAACAGAGGCTTGAAATGTGTTCATGAAAATCTTGATTGTAAAAACCATCTAAAATGAATAAGGCTCGGCCACCTTTGACGAGTCTGGGTGACATAAACTTTGTTCAAATTATGATAGTCGCCGCTCAGCTCTGACCGCAGCTTGTTTGATGACAATGGCGGAAGAGATCACTGACAAAATTATTGCACGGGTAAAAAATCCTCAGTCAGTCAGTTGTTTCATAGCATTACTAGTTAACTCTTACCTAAGGCCGTCGACAACAGAGTGAAAAACAACAAGATAGGAAAACTCTTTGGCTCCATCATTCAAACACTTGGTAAAGCTTAAGTTCTTAATTCGCTTCGTTCCGTCTATTTATACGGCAAGAAATGAAACCGAATTTGCATATTGCGTTAGTGATGTCTATTCTATGACGTCAATGGCACAGAAATGTCACGCGATAGCAGGCCGCACCCAAGCTATTTCCTCATCAGCACATCAAATTATGTCACGTAAACAAAAGATAAGTTTAGAACCTCAAAATTCCATTGAGATAATTAAAATAAGGTGAAAAACGAGTCCCGAGAGCAAAAGCAATATACTGAGAATAAATGAAATATTTTTAGCCAGAAAACTATATTGTTAAACTTTCTATTATTGTAATAAGAAGTAAATAATTCCTTGTTTTAGATTTTGAGGTTTGGCATGGAAACCGAAAAATTCTGCAACACACCATTTCAATCTAATTTTGTTTTGGCCTGACTATTTCAGTATTTAGTACAAATCTGACTAGCATTCTATGACGAATGCCGTTCTCTGATTGGCTACGCTACTCACTACCTATTCTGTTGTAGGTAGTGTGCCTAGCAGTGTGCGGTCGTCAACAAAACGGTGTTTTAAAGTGCCTGTGAAGAAGAGTTTAAAGTGCCCGGGCTTTGTGTTTGTAAAGTGCCTGTGAAGAAGATTTATTTAGCTAATGTTAAGTTTTCTGAACGACTAGAGGATTTAAACAATTAGATCATTCGCTCTCGATTTCTATGCGTGATGATTGGTTAACTTGGGCTGCGCACTCTTCAACTATCACGCGACGTAAGTCTCGACCTCATAATCTAATCGTTAAATAAACTTCGGTGTGTCTTACATTTATAGAAAATCGTGGGGATTAGCCCGCAATGAAACAAGGGAACTTTTAAGCTCCCTTTAGTGCCCCATGAAAACCACTAAGGACTGGGAATGAGTCTAGTGAACGGCAACTTCCTATTTATGTAAATGAAACGTTTTGTTGTGCACAATAGGCCACGTTCGATATGTCAGGCTCCGAGGCTTTCGGGCCAAAATTTTAAATTGCCTAAGTTTCTTTTGTCTTTCAATTCCCAAAAGAGACTTGGAAACAAAGAAAACAACACCAAATATAGAAGAGTTTGTCCTTAAAGCCTTGGAGCCATGTTAGAATACTGATATATCGAACGTGGCCTAGACGCCGTTCGCCGTACTAGTACAGTGGCTCGTCGTCTTTTTCCTGTATCAAAATGTTTTCTCTAAGAAACAGACTTGCCGTGGGAGTCACGACACAAATAATTCGAGCATCTACAGGTATTTATTTGACGCGCGGCTTGCTGTCTTTTGTGGTCATCTTCATGCGAAAATTCTGCGAAAATTAAGCTCTGTCTGGACCTGTCTTCAATTTGAGTTTTGTTCTTGTTTGCGATGAAATAGAATTAAGCTTGATTCATTATAGGAAAATTGTTTATCGTACGTAGTAAGAAAAGTCGAGAGATAAAATGTGAGAAAGACTGCGGTTCCTTTGAGCGATGCATGATTCCTCGAAAATTGTCAATGACAAGGATTCACGGAAACTTAACAAGGGCGACTTACAGCAAAACGAAGTGAAGCGTGCCCCTCAAGAAATTATTGGAAAATTGGATCCACTAGTCGTTCCAAGAATACGGCTAATGGGCCTAATGTTAAAAAAAATCAATTAATTATTTAAGCAATACAAAACATGTACCGTGTTTCTATAGAATTATAGAAACACGAGTGGAAGTTTGGGAGAACGAGAAATGCTGTGGGAACACGAGCCGGAGGCGAGTGTTTCCACAGCTTTTTCGAGTTCTCCCAAACTTTCACAGCTCGTGCTAGTTCTGTGTTTCCATCGAGTTATAGAAACACGATTTTTAACCAATCAGCGCGCGTATTTTCTTAGGACTGTTTTCTAATGATTTTTGAAATTACTAGCGAGTTTGATACTCAAATAGTCAATTCATTATTGCATTCTTGAAACGACTAGCGGGTTAAATATTCAAATAATTAATTAATATAATCTTGAGGAACACGCTTCACTTGGTTTGACTGTAAATAATTTTAACTAACGAATAGTTACGAAGATGAAACCTTCAAGGAAAGAACGTAATATTCTGAAGCACGATCAACGAAAGTTGTTCCTTGGATTATAAGTGCTATACAGAGTTCTGGCCTCTTCCAGTGAATCGATATCAGGCGGTTTGAATTCCTGGAAATTTACCGATTGTAGCTGAATTCAGTGTGAATTCCTGTTTGGTAATGAAAAGGAATGCAGAGTTAAATTTCTCCTAAATGAAGGTAACGATATTAACTCTTCAAACATCGGACATGCCAATGTCGGCCAATTTTTCCACGCTACGCCGAAGAAATTTGAAAACGCAGCTTTATTTCTACGGTTAGACCTACCGTCCACACTAAGGGACCGTTCATTTTTTATAAGGTAGGGGGGGCTGGTGGGATTTGGG